CCCCAACCCCTCGGCGCAGAAGGCGGCGCTGGGCGCCTGCGACAGCAGGTGGTTGGCCAGCTGGTCCTCCTCCTCGGGGCTGCCTTGGCGCACGCGCAGGCTGGACGCCTTGCGCTTCGATTTGGCGCTCTGCCTGCGTTTGCCGCCCAGTGTGGACGCGCTGCTGTGCCCGCTGCGCGTGCTCTGCGAGCTGGGCGCCAGGCTGGCGTCAGTATACGCGCTCAGCTCGGTCACACCGCTGGCCTCCGACGCCGCGTCGTCGCCGGCGTCGGACCCGGGCCCGCGCCCCGCGTCGGATCCGTCCCGATCATCCCCCCCCTCCTGCCCCCGCTCCGCCTCGGCCGCCGCAAGGGCAGCCGCCAGGTCCCGCCGCCGCGCCGCCAGGTGCTCCAGGCGCGCCGCGTACTTGGCCACGCGCGCCGCGCTCTCCCGCACGTCCTCAAACACCTCCGCTGCGCGCGCGGCGGCCGCGGGGGCCAGCACCCGGTCCAGCAGGTCGGGGCGGGCGTGGGAGGCGGCGACGCGCGCGCCCTCGCGCCACTCCCTGGCCGCCGCCAGCAGCGCGGCGGCCGCGTCCACGTCGCGACAGTACTCCAGCCGCACCGCGGCGGCCTCCGCGGGGCGCGATGCCGACACCAGCTCGTCCGCCAGTTCCATGGCCAGCTCCCGCACGCCCTCAACCCGTAGGCCCAGCTTGCCTTGGAGGTGGTTGTTGTGATGCACGGTGGTTGGCAGGGTGAGGCAGCGATCGCTCTGTGAATGAGCCTTGCGCAGGGCCGGATGCGGCTCCAAGCCGCGAAGATCTCCGCGGGGAGACATCGGTGATGCCTGCCTGCCGATTCAGCACCGCCTTGTCTCTGCACGTGCACAGGACTCAAATCCTGTCCCAAGGTCCCTCAGCCAACAGCAGCCCATAAACCCCCATACCAGGTTCCTCCCCCCCTTCACCCACCGGCCAGAGTGAGGGCGGGGCGCCAGTGGAGCCCGCCGCGGTAGGCCGCCAGCGCCTCGCGCATCAGCCCCGCCGTAACGAACGCCAGGCCCGCGTCCTCATACAGACCCCTGGTCTCCAGGGACTCTGCGTAGGCGCGGAGCACCGCTCGCCGCTGCTCCTGGTCGTCTGGGAGGTCGAGTGAGGGAAGGAGGGGAGTTGGAGGGGTTTCGGGCCTGACCATGGACAAAGGCGCCATCGTTCCTTCTGATGGTGCCCGGCTGGGCGCCTGGGCCAATCTCGACGCCGCTGCGCATCGGGCAGCAGGGGAGTGACCCCTGTCAGACCCACCCTCGACCCCTCTTTCCCTCCCCCCTCAAGCATAAAACAGCAATCCTGCCCACCTCGGCACAGATGCAGCATCTTGCGCAGCAGGCCATGCTGCGCCGCCAGCTGCAGCGCGGCGCCAAAGTGCGCCGGCCCCGCCTCCAGCAGGCCGCGCAGCGCGGCCTCGTGCTGGCGCAGGTGGCGGTCGATGGCGACGCGCCGGAGCACCACGTCGCGCTCCGCAGCAAACCGCCCCAGCTCCTGCAGGTACTCCCCTGGGTCCTTCTGGCTGTGAGCGATCACCATGTAGGCCAGGTCCAGCTCGTACATGCCCAGCGCCGTGGCGTAAAGCTCATCGGCGCTGCTGGTCAGCAGCAGGTGGCGCAGGCCGTCCTCCGCGCTGGGCGGCCGGGGCAGCTGGTTGCCTGGTGTGGGGCTGGGGCCTTCCAGTGTCACTCCATCCTCCTGCAGGCGTGTGGACGGCACAGCCGCGTTCATCTTGATCACCAATCTTCGTAGAAGGATGCTGGGTCATCCCGACTTACCAACAACGCTCACCTCAACTCATGATCATCCACTACCCACCTCCATGGCGGCGTCCTTGACCTGACGGAGCAGGCGCATGGCGCCCTCCAGGTCACCGCACCGCGAGTGGCTGACCAGCAGGGAGCGGAGGAAGGCGCGGCCCGGGCCGGCCAGGATGGCGTCCCGGAAGGCCGCGCAGACTTTCGTGACCTTTTCGTCGGTCTGGGCGTCGGCTCGAGACGACGGCGGTGGGCCCTCAAGCCCGTATGCGCCGCCGTCGTGACCCTGCCTCAGACCCTCCCCATCGCCGCCATCCCCCCCAAAACCCTCGGCGCCAGCGTAGACGCCGCCTGGCGCCAGCACAGAGCCTGGCCGCAGCGCGGACAGCAGGTCCGCCACGGCCTGGTCCTCGCCCAGCGCGGCGAGAAAGCGCGGCGCGTCATGCAGCACGCGCGGCCAGCGCGCGTCGACCAGCAGGTTGAGGTCGACGCGCTGCTGCGTGGCCAGGGCCCAGGCTGCGGCGACGTCGCCGGCCGCCAGCGAGGCTGCCAGCGAGGCCAGCACCAGCGCGCGTGGGCACACCGCCTCCAGGTTGCCGCGCGGCAGGCACAGCACTGCGCAGTGCGACCCGGGGGGGGCCGCCACCAGACGCGCCCCGGCCTCCACAGCGCGCGCCGCCAGCGCTGGTGGTGCAGGGGCCGATGCCTCGGGCGCGGCTGTGTTCCCCGGCACCGATGCCCGCCGCGTGTGCAGCCGGCCGTCGCGGCCGGTGAAGAGCAGCCAGGGCGCAAGGGGGGGTGGGGAGTCACACGCACCGGAACCACCGGGGCGTAGGGCCAGCGAGGTCACGCCCTCGGCGACCGGGCGGGCCGCCCCCGCACACCATAGCTCCCCGCGCCGCGACACGCCGTACAGCGCCAACGGGGTGGCATGCGGCCTGGCCTCGGGCAGCACGGCCATGACGGGGCAGGGCGCCTTGAAGGCGGGGCCGGGGTCCAGGCGCACGCCGTCGGTCGCGCTGCTGTCACCGCAGGCATTGCCAGTCCCATCACTGCCAGCGCCAGCCGAGTCGCGGCGGAGCGTGACCACGCCGCCGCAGGCCAGCTGGAAGACGGGGCCTTGCGCGGTCAGCACGCGGCCTGGGAACTCGAAGGCGCCGCGGGCCCGCAGGCCGGCCCCGCCGAGCTGCTCGCCGCCCCAACGAATCTCCAGGTCCAGGCCTGCGTCGTGCAGGGCGCCGCCGTCTCCCTGGCCATCGCGACCAGCTTCCCTCTCGCCCGCCAGCACCAGGACGAGGCGGGTCGCATCGGTCCACACCGCGCGCTTCAGCCGCGCCGCCTCGCCCGCGCCCAGGCAGGGGAGGAGGAGCTGCGGCGGCCGCGCCTCGCCCTCCCAGGCGTCGTCGCATGGAGCCCGGCTCAGGGCCAGGCGGCCGTCGGCCAGGCAGGCGGCCAGCGTCTCGGGCTCCCCCGGCGCGGCGCGCAGCGCGCAGCACAGCGCGGGGCAGGGCAGGAGGAGCGAGGCGGCGGCCAGTGGCGGCGGCACCACCGCGCGGCGCAGCGGCGTCAGCGCCAGCCGCCGCCCGTCCAGCACCGCCGCCGTGCCCAGCCGGCTGACGTCCTCCAGCTGGCTTAATTCGAGCTGTGAATTTGAGAATTGAGGAAAAGGGGGAGGGGCAGGAGGTGGGCTCCTGGTGGGGCGCAGGGCGAAGGCGATCATGTGCGGTGCACACCAGCGCTCACCACTTCACGACCAAACACATCCCCCTGCTCCCCGACTCATGGACAACACCGCCGACTCACCCTGGTAACGTCGCTGGAGGTAGCAACGACGTCGAGCGTCAGACTGGCGGCGGCGCCGCCCCACAGCGCGCGCAGCGCGCCGCACCCCTCGAACCTGCGCTCGCCCTTGCAGTACCAGTGCCAGTTGCTGCGCGTCCAGAGCTGCAGCGCGGCGCTCGTGGTGCCGCTTCCGTCTTCCTGGCTGCATGCCACGGCCAGCACCTCCGAGCCGGGGCTCCAGCCCAGCCCCGTGACCACAGCGCCTTCCCCGCCCGGCGCCACCAGGTCGAAGCCGCCGTGCTGGAGCCCGTTGCGCTCCCACAGGACCACGCGGTGGGTGGGGCGCGCCGGCCCTTGCTCGGCGGCCGCGGCGGCCGCGGCGGCCTCGCGTCTTCGCGCCTCGCGCTTCCAAGCCGCGACGTGGCTCTCCAGCGGGCGGGCCGCAGCGGCGGGCGCCTCGCTGCCGGCTGCCACTGCACCCAGCCGCTGCACGGTGTACAGGTGGCGGCCGTTGGGCTGCCAGCTCAGCAGCTGGGTGAGCCCCGGTGCCGCCTCGCCCCGCGCCGTCACCTCCCCACTCACGCCGTCCCAGATGCAGAGGGCATGGGTGTCGGAGGGGCCGCCCGCAGTGGCCGTGGCGAAGCAGGCCCCATCAGCCCTCCACTCCACGCTGGCAGAGCCGATGGGTTGCCCATGGTCGATGGCGGCCTCCAGCAGGGGATTCCAGTCCTGGCGGCGTGGAGGTTTGGAGGGCATGGATGCAGGACGAGTGGGAATGAGGGGGGCTGGTTGTCACCTGGTGACGTTGTCACACTAGGAAAAGGGGCCACACAATTCGCTGTGAACCACTCTGGGTCCAGGTGGTACACCTGGTCACAAAAAGCCTGTCCATACTCGAAGAAGTTGTGTGCACGCACAGATGGCGCTGGTCAGCCTCAATCCTCCATGGAGCGACCCCAGTTTCCCATGACGTAGCCAGCATCTGATCGCACCTCTGACATGATGAGCAGCTGTCCATTGCCGCTGACAAGGACCAGGCGCATGCCGTCGGGGCTCCACGCCGCGCCTTTCACCCCGCCCTCGACGTACCCAATCTCCTCCACGCTGGGGCCCGCCCCCGGTGGGAAGGTGATGAGCAGGAGGTCCCCGCCCCGGGTGCCCACCAGCACTCCATCCGCCTCTGGCGTCCAGAGGAACGCCGTGACGCCATTGCATGGCGTGTCTACCCTGCCGAGCTCCTGGCGCTGCGAGGGACGCCGCGAGACGAAGCTCTCGGTCATGGAGCTCAACATCCTCCATGACCGGTGCACTGATAGCCTTCCCTCACAGACACTCATCCCGGGCATCCACCTGTGAGGTACTGGGGCAGTACCAGTGGAAGCTGCCATCTTGCATCCACAGGAGTAGCCTGTCCCTGTCCTCATCCCTGCACACGTGCGCAACAGAGGCCCCTTCTACCGCTCGGCCCTGGGTGAGCCCCAGCGTCTGCAGGTTATTCATCGCGGGGACTGCTGCGGCATGCGACGCTTCCCTATATTACATTTGGTTTTAAAGATGGAATTTTTATGTGCAGGTCGACCATAGGCCGTAGTACAATGTGGATGGCCAGGAGTCCAATTGAGCGCGCCCTCCCAGTTAGGACAGGCCGAGGCGCGATCCACCCAAAGACCACACGCCAAGCCCAGCGAGTGACAGTTTCTTTCTTTTACGGGAGAATATAACATGCAGAGCTTGTACATTGCCACCAAGGGCCTTCATTCCACACGCATTTTTGTACATGTACCTGATTGCCATCACTTCTTGGTGTACAGAGACATTGCATTGCACAAATGTTAAATAGAGCAAGCGACCCGTCACACTGCATCGCTTGGGTGCCAGACCGCATATCATTGCCATACAGAGGGATTCAAGGGGACGGGAATGGGATGCTGGAACCATCACCACCATGGTCACAAAGTCCAAGCTTCAGATGGCGGGCTCAGTCACCAGGAGCCGCTGCAGCTCGGCCCTCCGCCTCTCCAGGGCCTCGTACTCTGCCTGTGCCTTCCGTAGTCGCTGGTCGCGACGTGTCCGGACTGGAATGGTAGAACAAAGGAAGGTTTACGCGGTGGCCTGGATGCATTTATCTCGGGAATCCAAAGCAGACCAGGATCAACACCATGGTATGGATGCAAAGCATTCTGGCAATGCACCCCAGTCCTGACCCGGCAACAAATTCCCCCTCATCGCTAAAAACAAGGTATAACATTATGTATAAACATAACTCACTGTGTTTGATGGTACCTAGGCAGCTTATCCAGCCCACGGCATACACCCCCGAGCATACCAGGAGGGCGACGCTGGCGATGCCGCGGTACAGCGCCAGGCTGCGGTGGAAGTCGGTGTCGCCACGGGGGAGGGCCTCCCTGCACATGCAAAGCGGGGAGGGAGGGTGAGAGGTAGGGTCTAGCAGAGGCTTGCAAATCGAATTGGGTGGACCTTGACCGGATTGACTCTCGATGTGTTGCATATTCTGCACCTTCACCAAGACACCTTGACCACCAGTGATGCACCTGCATGATAACACGAGCCTGTCCTCAGCCTCCCTACCACACCTGTACGTGAGAACTCCTACGAAGCTCTGCAGCATCGCCCGGCCTATCCAGATCTCCAGGAGGGGCCACCAGGCAGCCAGGGCGGCCACCTCTAGCTCCACAAATACCACCAGGATGGCCGTCAGCAAGCCGTACACGCGTACCGCTTGGCCCGAGAGGTAGTAGATGTCCTGTAAATGAAATTGAGTGTCGGCTTAAGACGGAGGGAAGCTGTCGATATATGGCAAACGTTCAGGGCGACCTGCCCTGGCTCAGGGTAGTTAACCCGGCTCTCACCTTGTCTGGCGCGTGCACCCGCACTGCGATGGCCATGCCGAAAGCGGCGGCACACACCAGACTGCAGATTATGGTCACCATGTTGAAGAAGCGACAAAGGGTCAGCAGGAGGTCACCCGGGGCTTTGGGCGCACGGCCAGGCAGAGCCGGAGGTGCTGAGCCGGGGGTCATCTCTTCCCTCATGCTGCCGACACTTTAAAAATGCGAATAGGCGTGTGTAAATTGGATCCTAGGAACTCAAGCTCCTCTAGACCCCGCGACCACACTCTTAAGGCATGGGCGAAAAGTCCTCGTGCCATTCACCCTCGGATCGAACCCACACTGAATGTGTGTGGGAGGGGGAGGCACGTGGGGTCCACTGATGATCGAATTTTGAACGATCACAGGTGTGTGCTGCATTCACAAAGCACCCATGTGGAGGACTCGTCAAGCTCGATCAATGAGGAGAACGGAGGGCGTGATGGGGATTGGGTCTTGTTTGCACATGCGATAGGGTCAGCATGCGAATACCACCATGGGCAGCATCTCCGAACCAAGATGCACGCATAAGATCGACCTATACTGGCCTCCATGGATCTTGGATAGTATCTAGCATCACTTTTGATTATGCCTACAGGGCAACTCTGTTCCTAGTGCAGCATGCACCCCACTAAGGGAGATCCCTAGGTGCCAGGGCGCCGGCGCGTTTGGGCGCATGACCACTTGCCCATCGGCCCCAACTCGAGCGCACAAAGCAGACGCAATACAGTTTATGTATACTAACTCAAAACATCAACCTCGAACTGCTTCAAGTATCGTTACGAGCGGCCTGCCTCCCAAAGTGACTTGTTGCGTCACGGGCGGCAACTAGTTGAGCACTGGTCTCGGTGCGTTCCCGGTGCACGAGGCATCGCACCCACCAGCATGCCTCACGTCAAAGGCAATAAATTCAAACCAGCAGTAGCAGCACCTGTCGCGCCGCAGGTGGGCGCCCTTGATGTAGCTGGCCCTTCCCCGGTCGGCAAGCAGCCTGTGCACACTAAGGCAGCCGATGGGTGTGCCCCAGCACCTCGCGGAAGCTCGGACACTCCACGCCCCACCACTCATGGGGCGCAAGTCCACACTGCTGGAAAGACAGAAGCCCCACACGCGACAGCACCCCCTGAAAAGCGGCGGAGAAAGGGCCCGAAGGCAGCAGCCCCACCAGCACAACAGGTAGTGCAGTCGCTGCCGGCGACGGTGGTGCCGCCGGCCCCCAAGGCCTCTGCCTCCGGTGCCATTGTGGCAGCCCCCAACTGGGCTGCACTCAAGGCCGTGCTGGCTACGACCAAGAAGAAGCCGAGAGCGAACAGACTGCCAGCGACGGACACAACGCCGGGTGCAGGTACAAACAGCGGCCGGGGCGTCACCCCCTCTTCCCGCACGAACCCCGTCACGGCCGTGCTGGCTCTGGACTGCGAGATGGTGGGCGTCGGGCCCGACGGGGAGAGGTCCTCCCTGGCAAGGTGCGAGCGGGGTTCCTACCTTCTCCGCTCCACTCCGCTGCTGGGCAAGTGTATCAAAGCTTCTGGACGGAAGGAGACTGCCTGTGTCCCTCCCTTGCCGCGAGCGCTGCGTTCTCATCCCCAACAGTCAGATGGGAATGCCTCAAATCACCCCAGGGTGTGTATCGTGAATGCTGAAGGCGGCATCCTGCTGGATGTCCATGTGCAGCAGAAGGAGCGGGTCACCGACTACCGCACCAAGTTCAGCGGTGGGTGGAGGGGCATGGCTAGGCATGCACGTGGTCAGGAACAAGTGATGCATTCTGCAAGTACCTGCTACCATGATTGACGTGCTGAGTCGCTCTGCTGCAATACCTTTCCCCTTGCCAGGCATCCGACCCAAAGATCTGGACCAGGCTTGGCCCCGGGAGGTTGTGCAGGCCTGGGTCAAAGACCTGGTGACAGGCAGGGTCCTGGTCGGCCACGCGCTGCACAACGATCTGGAGGTGAGGCCGGGCCGGGCCTATGGGCGAGGATTGCAGCGTGCCAGTGGGGGCTGCAGAGCCTGTTTGTATGAGGGCATCAGCAGTGGATTTGAATGGTGCGTGAAGCAGTGCAGGCATATGTGATGGGTATGGAACCGTTTGGTGTGCTATGCTGACTCCTGGGCAATTGCCACTGCCTCTTTCCCAAGGTCCACCTCCCTCTCCCTTCTGGCGTCCACAGGCGCTCGAGATGAGCCATCCAGCGACAGGGTCGCGGGACACGGCCAGATACCCGCCCTTCATGTTCCAGCAGGTGAGCCCTTCCGGACCCAGGCTATCATCATTGCTTGACATTGTTGTCAAGAGGCTGAGAGTTGGCCTGGTCCCACTCCCTTTTTCACTCATGAATGATGCGTTTGGCTGCCACCTCCGAATAGGCACAAGGGGGGAGGTACAAGTCGCGGTCCCTCAAGCAGCTGTCTGCTGAGGAGCTAGGACTGAGCATTCAGGATGGGGAGCACTCCCCAGTGGATGACGCCCGGGCCGCGCTGTACCTCTACCTCAAACATCGCAAGGTGGGGAGCGGGGTGTAATGAGGATGATGCCGGGTTTTATTGTGCAAGAACTTTGGGGACTCCGGTAGCCATGGCCTGCTGACATGGGGAAGCATAAACAAGTAAATCGCCCCCCTCTCCCCTCGTAATGATGCACCTTAGTCTTGGGAGCGTTGGCTGAAGGGTGGAAAGAAGACAGGAAGTGGCGCTCAAGCGCACAAGATGCCGACATGGGAGGAGTTGTCACGGAATGATGGCATGATTGACTTGTGATGGCGCGCACCACCAAGCTGTTCAGCTCCCAAACCTTTCAAGTTTTTGGTGGATACACTGCAATTGCTTTGAAAAATGCCATCTATGAAGGTCTGCAGAGCTAGAAATACTTTGCAGGCTCGTGGCTTGTAGGGGATCCAGCTTTCCTCCCGTGATGGGCGTTCTGCCACCCGAGTGTGCTGCATGTTGGTGCTTGGGTCACCACTGCGACGGGAAGTCTTGATCCTCTTGAAACAGTCAGCTCCACTCACCCTGTTGAGGTGCTGCCGACAGCCTGTGTCCGACCACTATCCACCCAGGCCACGGAAGGCATCGCAGCGGAGCTCGTGCAGCTCGAGCCCTGCACACCCGGAGAGGCTGAGCCTCGCTTCCCTCTTGGGCCTTAGCAGTCGAAAATTTTGCCAACATGGCGCCGAAAGTCAAGAGGATCATGACACAGCCCATTGTGAGTGTTGGTGATGGTGGCTGCAGCCCTGTCGGACAACGGGGTCTGCTTGCGCAGGCTGGGTCTACGGGTGCTACATCATGCCCCATACAGCGCCCCGTCCTACTCCGGCTGCCCTCTGCCCCCACCTCCAGAACCTGATTTTCAGGTTTTTGCAAAGTCGGCAGAAGGTCCAAATATGGCTGTACGACCACAACGACCTGCGCATCGAGGGCCGCATCATCGTGAGTGGGGATGGTTGTTTCTGATGGAATGGGTGCTTCCTGCAGGATCGATGGTGTGGAGCGTGGCTGTTGTGAGCGCTGCAACGTTGGCACACCCGCAGCCCGGCACGCCTGGGAGGGAGCTGCATGTCCCTGCAGCCACTATCCCATGCCCTGGGTGCTGCCAAGAGGAATCTTTCCCATCCTTTTCACACACGCCCTCCGTCCCTCCCCCGCGCAGGGCTTTGATGAATACATGAACCTCGTGCTGGACGAGGGCGAGGAGGTTTCCGTGAAGCGGCAGACGCGCAAGCCGCTGGGCCGCATTCTGCTCAAGGGCGACAACATCACCCTCATGCAGGCAGCCAAGTGATGCCCTGCTTTCTGATGCCCTGCCCCTCCTCTGAATGCCCAGCTCGCTCCCTGGGCAGAAGCGCACCCCCCCACACAAAGGAGTCCTGGATCTACGCTCCCTCTCCTGCCGCGCTGCCTGACTGTTACACCCTCTCGCCAAGCGGCGGGTCGCAGAGCTCCGGGCAGCCCCCCAGGAACACGGAGGTGTTGCTGTAGTCGGACAGCAGCGGCTCGTACCCAGAGCGCGTGCGCGTCGCCCCCGGCGCCGCCCAGATGCCCATGAACTCCGCGGTCTTGACGGAGCTGCTGCAGGTGGGCCGGGGTCTGGCGGCGCCGCACCCCGCCTCGGCATGCAGCTCCGCCAGCAGCCGGAAGTCGGTGGGGAAGAAGATGTCTGCGGTGCCGCGCGGGACGAGGTAGGTGCCGTGGTCGCGCGTGCTCCCCTTCTCCTGTGTGAGCCGGGGGGGTTTGGGGATTGAGCGGGGCTTGGAAGGCGAGAGGCATTCACGGCGAGGCAAAGGGGAAGAAGCGGGCGGGGGAGAGATGAAGTGCCTGGTCGACCCTGGATAGACCGGCGGCGCCACCTCAGTCAGGCCGGGCATCTTTGCGCGCCCCCCCCCCCGGGGTGGGCGGGGCCAGCCGCCCGACTCACGGTGGTGGCGACCAGGGGGGCGTTGACGCCGCGGATGCTGACCTCTGGCAGCGAGTCGAAGTCGGCTGCCAGCAGGGCGTGCCCCGGCAGCATGGCGTGCAGCGTATCCAGCAGGCGCAGCGCGGCGGTGGGCAGGAAGGCGGCCTCGCGCGGCGCCAGCGCGGCCGGCAGCAGCCGCGCGGCCGCGCGCCGGACGAGGCCGCGCCGCGGCGGCGGCGCCGCGTGAAGCCAGGCCGCCAGCGCGCGCGCCACGTGCTCGTCGGCGACCTCGCCCTCCACCTCGCGCGGCGGTGACGCTGCGTCGCCGTCCGCCCCCCCCTCGACGCTGACCTGGCGCCAGGTGGCGCCGCCGCGCCGCGTCACCAGGTCGTGCGCCAGGTTGTCCAGCACCTCCATGGCCAGCACGAAGCAGGGGCCAGGGTGCGCAGGCCAGTCGTCGGCGCGCGTGGCGTCCCGCCGCTGCACGTCGAAGCGCCGGGCGTGGCCGGAGTCGGCGCCCAGGCGTGCCGCCTGCGTGGCGGCCAGCGCGGCGCTGATCTCCACGATGGAGTACCGGCAGTCGGCGTAGATGGAGGGGTGGTTGGCCCGCAGGTGGTCCTGGGGGTTTGATGAGGGTGGAGGTTGGAAGAGGAGGCAGGCCTCGAGAGGATGGAGGTTGGAAGAGTTGGCAAGTCTCAAATCGATGGGCGCCAAGTGCATGTCCCCCCCCCCGCAAGGGGCAGCCGAGAGGGCCCTGTGACTGAGCGGCGGGGGGACGCAGAGAGCCGTACTCGACACAAAGGCACACGCACTGCACCCCCCAGGCTGATGCAGTCCCCAGCCTCACCCCATCCACGCACCAGCACATTCTGGGCCAGGGTCCCCGTGCCGCCGCCGATCTCGAAGATGCGCAGGCCGCCCGGCGCGCCGGCGCCGCGCCAGCGCGCGGCCACGCACTCGGCGACGGCGGCGCCGTAGTGGGGCTGGAAGATCTCCACGGGCGTCAGCCAAGAGACCTGGAGGGAAGTGTACAGCGCCTGCACGCGGTTGAAGTAGGCCAGCTCGTTGCCCAGGGAAGCAAAGTCGATGGGCGCGGGGGGGGTGCCCACCGAGGGGCCCTTGCTGAAGTAGCCCTCCGTGGGGTGGTAGAGGGAGTCATGGATGAAGTCCCTCACCTGCACTTGCAGTGGTGCACCGTGGTTGGGTCAGGCGTGTGGGCAGCATGGGGGGCAGCGCAGCTAGGGGGTCAGGCCAGCGACCCATGGCAAATCCAAGAGCCCTACACTCTACTCACCAACCGCCTGGGACCGGGCTCGACGGTGGTGCTCAGGGCCCGGCGTGCTGCGATGGACAGAGCAGGCGCGTGCGATAGCGAGGCTATGCCTCTCATCGCCACATCTAATGAGGAGGAGGGGTGGGTGGGTCACTATGAATGGGCCATGGCAATACTGTCAACTCGCCCGAGGAGGAAAATACCAATCTTACATAGTCGTTCGATCATATAAAGACATAATACGTATACAATGTGATATTTTTGGGAATTTCTCGGCATTCTAGACCAATTCTTCGCCGATCAGACAATAGCGAGCGCATGAGGCCAGGGCGCGCGAGCTGCGAGAATCCCGTCGAAACAGGGCAGCCACAGGAGATACACATGACAAGTGAGATTGCATCAGTAGTGCAGGGGAGAAATACCATCAGTGGGCATCCTTGCATGTGATCAACTCCTGGATAACTGCGCCCAAAGGGTCTGCACTTTACCGGCATGGCCTTCACCGTGACCCAGCAACACGTCCCTTTCTGCGGTGTACGATGATTTAAATTCACCAGATCCGGATGACCTATTCTTAAGCATTTGAAAACGAGTCCATCGACCAATGTCCCTAGCGGCAGCTCTGCGGGCAGTGTGGTGCCCGGGCCAGTATCGAAAGGCGCACCGATGGGCAGCGTACATCCCCTTCAGACAGCTGCAGACTGTACAGCCTGAGCAGGAAGAGCCAGGCACAGACAAAAGATACATCGATAGATTGGTGGTGACAGCGCAGGCCGGGCGTGGAGGCTCCGGATCCTCAAGCTGCATACAAAAGAGCAACAGGGGTGAGGCATGTGAGGCTGATAGTGGGAGGACTCTGGTGAGGTGCAGGGTCGATGGTGCAGCTAGAGCATTCGTTGCTCCAAGGCCAAAGATCATGCAAAGGGGTGCGCTAACTTGATCCCAAGTCTCAAAAGCCATGTGTATCTCGATGCCAGCACCTTCAGTTCAGACCTGGCCAATCCTCCCCTTCATGGCAACATCACAGGACGCAAGATCACCGCAGACGGCGGCAACGGCGGCAGTGGTGGAGACGTCATAGTGCGAGCCAGTGGCAGGTACTCAATCGTCCTAGTGCTGGCGTGGGCGCAAAGGTGCTGGCCCCACCGCCCTCCTGCCAGCCTGCTGTCGGCTTGCAGTTGGTGCGATTCCCCTCCTCCATCTTACCTCATGCAGGATGAAGAGTCTGGCAGGTGTGGCCCAGCTGCACAAGGCCGAGCCTGGCTCCCACGGGTCCTCCCGGGTCCAGCATGGTGGCGCGGGTGACAACGCCACGATCCTGGTGCCGCTCGGCACTCTGGTGTCCCGCATCCTGGAACCTTCCGCAATGGATGGCGCGGGCGAGGAGGCACAGCAGCCCGCTCAGGGCCAGGCCGGGGTCCTGCGCCGCCGCGCCCCGCGTCAGCCCGCAGATCTCGGACAGGAGGAGGCCGCGCCGCCGCCGGAGGAGGCGGAGCTCCCCCCCTGGCTCGCACGCTGGCGCACCGCCTACACCGGCGACGCTGTCGATGCCGACCGGCGGGACGGCTTCGACGACGAGGTTGGGGGAGGGGCTGGTGGCCAGCCCGGCGCTGGCCCGAGCGCGGGCGCGGAAAAGCGTAGGGGTCCCCGGCACTACCCCACTGAGGTTCTGGCGGACCTGGTGGAGGAGGGGCAGGAGGTGGTGGTAGCGCGGGGCGGCCGCGGGGGCATGGGCAACGCCGCGATGCGCTCCCTGCCCAACAGGTGAGCTGGCGGGGCTGGGGCATGCGGTGGTGTGATGTTGATGCCCGAGGCATCCCTTGGTGTTCCACTCGTGACTGCGCCATGGCCTGACTTAAATCCGAAGGCGTGTGGCATGTCTCATGCAAGTGATTTCAGAAAAGGTGCTTCTCACCCTCCCCCAACCATCACAGGCCTGCACCCAGGGAGTCCACGCCCGGGGCGGCGGGGGAGCGGCATCGACTGCTGCTGGAGATGAAGATCCTGGCAGACATAGGTGGGGGGGAGTTGCCTTGTACGTCGACTTGCTGCTGTGTGGAGTGAGTTGCTATGAGAACAAAGCGGCCCTGCTTACCCTCCGTAGTAATTGCTGTCTCCACCCAGCTGGTACCACCTGGCGCCTGGGCCGCACGCCCACCTCCCTTTGGCCCCCATCTTCCCCTACAGGCCTCGTGGGCGTGCCCAACGCCGGCAAGTCCAGCCTGTTGCGCGCGCTGACCGCCGCCCGGCCCAAGGTGGGGTCGTACGCCTTCACCACGCTCATGCCGCAGCTGGGGGTGGTGGATCTCGGCTGGGGCGAGCGCATGGTCATCGCCGACGTGCCGGGGCTGATCGCCGGGGCCGCTGAGAACCGGGGCCTTGGCCACGCTTTCCTCAAGCATGTCGAGCGGACGCGGGCGCTGGCGTACGTCCTGGATGCCTCGGCGGGACTCCACGGTGCGACTTGGTGTGCTGTTGTCGTCCTGGTTGGGGGATAGAGAAGAGCTCTCGCGACTGAGGGTGGTGGAATGACATGAGAAGAACGGGATGTTGACCATCTCAGCGGTCGAAGCTTGAGAGCCTCACCCGGGATCCAGGCCCAGGACGTGAAAAGAATACTCAAAGCGGCGTGTCCAACTGTCAAGGGCACGCTCTTGAAACACTCTCCCACTCCCACCGTCAGGCTCCCAGGGCCTGCGGCCTTGGAGGCAGCTCGAGCTATTGCGGGAGGAGATCGCAGCCTACTCCCCCGCGCTGGCTGCCCTTCCCTCAATCGTGATCGCCAACAAGGTCGACCTGCTCCCCCGCCCCTCACTCGTACTGTGCGCGCTGCGTGAGCGCACCCACCTCCCCGTCCTGGCCAGCTCGGCCCGTGACGGCACGGGTGTGCCAGAGCTGCTGCGCGCGCTGCGCGCGCTGTGGGCCGGGGAGGAAGTGGATGGCACCCCGCCGCCCTGCCCGACCTGAGCCAAGTCGAAGTGCTGCGGTGCACTTCCACAGCTGCGTCAACTGCATCCTACACATTCTCCTGTTTCCATACAAGACTGCGAGGAACCGGCAAGCAGGGCGAGCCGGCAGAGCGCAAAGCAAACGGAAGGGGGGGGGGG